GTATTTGCCTGGAGATGTTGTTATGAGACAGCTTCCGGCTCTCTGAGTGTGGAGTGGGGATTTCTGGAAAGCCTGGGCTTTTCTACCTCGGTTGTCATGCAGTACTGTAACAGAAGCATCACCAGAGAGCTATTTTACAACCGTGTAGGTGATCCCAGGGTGCGGCCAACGTTGAGACTCACTACTTCAAAATGGTGGGAATTATGGTAGTCTACAATCGTTGACTTCTTCCATCTCCAGCCTCAGGCCTTTGAGACTCTTCACGGGTTGGGGTGGAGAGATGGCTCAGTGGTTGAGAGAATCTTGGAAGGTCTGCAGCTCTGCGGTTGTGAGAGTCATCTGTGACGCTTCATCAAATGTTTTCCTGCTCTCCTACATCTTAGACTTGAGATGATTCTGAGGAGATCAGCAAGTGCTGTAGAAAGAGGATAACACTCACTGAGTCAGTGAGATGGACCTAGCCTCTCCATGGCCCGTGGAAAACTGGAACTACATCATGACTCAGACTAACTCTCGACGTTGTTTATATTCCTCTCATTTCTGTCCCTTCTTCCTCGGGTGTTTATGACACCAGGCATCTCTATCTGGGCATAATTGAGCTTACACACATTGTAAATTATAAGGTTATAAAATCATTCCTTTGTGATGCTTCAATGACTGGTCACTACTTCGTCTGATGCAGCATAGCCAAGCACCTCTAACCCCACCCCAGAGGGGCTTTAGAACAGAGCTACTTCCTTCCTTCCTTCCTTCCTTTCTTTTCTCTTGTGTCTGTCATTGGTAGTCTCCCCACAGATACCCAGATTTAAGTAAGCCTAACTATGGACTTACACTCTATCTCCTGTTTAAAAGGTGTGTGACATCAGCAAACAGCCTACAAACAACTCCATAGCAACACATTCCACAATTCTTTCACCCCCAACCTAAAGTTTCTAAATGCGATTGCCTGGATGTATGTAAAACCAGTGGACCTGTGTCTGTGTACATTGATTTATAAGGCCAGGCTCTTCAGTTTAATAACTCATCGCTGAAATCAATACTAATAACTTATGATCATATGAAGTAGGATTCCCTTAAGAATACATTTTTGTTCATTCTTGATATGGTTAATGTAGGGGAGGGAGTGTTAGTCAGAATGCTGCCTTACCCAGTGTAGCAATATAAAATATATCTAGTTGTAGATGAAAAAGCTCAATTTACCCTCACCTTTGCCAAGTAGCAGATGCGCGAGTCCTTAACACTTGATTGCTATTTAGTAAAACGTGCACAGTGCCATCTAGTGGTCCATTGTCATGACTGCATATTCCTGAATCATTTTTCTGGAAACAACATTAGCGACCCATAGGTAAAACTGTTGGGCCTGAAACAGACTTCCTGCTGATTTCTCACTGAATCCCAACTTAGCAGTTCTCAGTGCTCCTACTTAAATGGGAGAAAGACGGATGAAAATAATTAGTATGGGGCAGTGAACAGCACTGGCTGCTCTTCCAGATCACCCAGGTTCAATTCCCAGCACCCACATAGCTGCTCACTGACCGTACTTCCAGTCCCAAAGGACCCAACGCCTTCTTCTGGCCTCTGTGGGTACCAGTCACACACATAGTACACAGACATATATGTAGGCAAAACACCCAGAAACACTGAAAACCAGGAAAATTACAGAACCCTTGTGAGGTGGTTAAAAACTAAGAAGAAACATGTAGTCACGGTGTCACAGGCACACATACAATGAAACGGACTGGGTTAGACTAGACATAGCAGCGTGAGCCTCGGATCCCAGCAGTCCTTGAGGGGGGTTGATATTTGTGTTTGGGGCCAGCCTGGTCTACAGAGTGAGTTCCGGGACAGTGAAAGGTGTTTCCGAACACATCCATGTCCTGTGTCATTATTTGGTCTCCAGCAACAGGTTTGGCTGTTGCTGCTTTCCGCCTGTCTGTCTCCGTGTCTTCCTTCCATTAGAGATAATAATACCTTCAGGCCGGACCTCACTGTGTGTCTCCTTACAGCCTGTGTCTTAGTGCTTGGCACAGAAATCAAATCCTGCTCAACGCCACGGTGTGTCCCCATTGCGACCATGTCCTCCCAGCCACCACAGCTCTGTCCTATCTCTGTCTGTACCTAGTGCCCTGAGTCTTACCATATGCCACTAGTTCTTGCTGCCTGTGTGGCTGAGTGACACTTGTCTCCTCATCGGAAATAGGACCTCATGTGAAGCATAGCCACATTTTTTTACCATACACCTTTGAGCCTCACAGTACTTTACTCATAATTATAACCCCAGTTTTACTTAGATCGTTTGTAATTATCTGTCCTTACCACTGGCTAAACCGATTGGCTTTGCTTTTCAGTGTACTGAGGCCTCAGGTATGGGGAAACACAAACACAAAGCACCTTTACTTCAAATGACTTCAGTATGACATCTAGATGTCTTGTTTGCCCATAACAAGAAGTCCTTATTTCCTGGGACGTGCCGAGTGTTTTCCAGGGATTGACTCTTTTAATCCACATTGCGATCAAATGAAGATATCAGTAACATTCTGAAAGTTGTCTGTACTGAAGGATGGTGATTAAACCGTCGCTGTGATTCTTCACAACTGTGCCGTGTTGTCCCTTTTAATTCAAATATGTCCTTTGAAACCCTTGCTTCGTTGGCGAGTTACTTTGGAATTTTTCTCACTTACTCATCAGATGTGTGGTTATACTGCCATGATATTAAGTGGCTGTGATAGGTGCTAGAGGGGTGAACATTTATCACAGCGCACACAGACGTACTGTGGCATTTACAGTACAGAAACAGACAGCCATGTTCAAAGGAGGCACACGGCAGAGGTACAAAACCTGGAGATGAGGCCAGAAAGACATCCTTGAAGATGTGGTGTTGATGCTGAAGTGTGGTGAGTGAGACATAAATGAGAAATGCAGAGGCCAAATTTAAACAGGCAAAAGCCTTTTCAAGCCATGTTTAGATTTCAAATTAATGAGAAATTATGAAAGGACTTTACATATCAGGTGTGGCATGTTATATTGCAATTAAAAAATGAAGTCAGTCCAATCTAATGCCTGTTCTCCCTACATTTTGCAGATACATTCTGAGAAGCAGGCTCACAGAGTACAGAAATAATAATGATAGGAATCACAAATATTACACTCGAGAATAAAAATAAATTCCCAAAAACTTACATTAATAAATGTTACTTCTCTGGGAGTGCCTCATAATGCTAATTAAACTTAGATAAAAGCCAGGCTAGAGAGACACTCAGAGATTAAGAGCACTAGTTGCTCTTTTGGAGGATTGGGTTTCCAACACCCACATGGCAGCTCACAACCATCTAAACCTCCAGTTCCAGACCATCCAACACCCTCTTCTGGCATTCATGGGCATTGCATGCATGTGGTACACATATATGTAGGCAAAACACCCATACCCATGAAATAAAAGCAAATAAATCTTTTTAAAAGAATAAGATATAAAATAATTCAGGAAAGACACTGGCTATCAGCCTCTGCCCACTACACACACACACACACACACACACACACACACACACACACACACACACACACACACTGGCCTCCATCCAGACTGGCCTCTTAACTTACCAAGAAAATAGAAGCACATGATAATCCAAAGAATTGCACATAATTACTTATAGTGACTTTATTTGTAACAGTCACAACCTGGATCAACTCTAATACCCCTCAACAGAAGAGTTAGGAACCAAACTGTGATGTTTCCATAGAGGAAGCATCACATTACAAAGGAGCGAATTGTCGATACATGCCCAATAAAGATGACACGTAAGATAGTTATGCTAAGTAGAAGCTTCCAGGTGAACAAATGGAATTCTGGTTATTTAGAATTCAATGAATTTGTAAGAGAAGGTAAGAAAAGCCGAGTTGCCTGATTGCAAAGAATGGATTGCAGGGGCATGCATGAACACTTTTAGTGGTGATGGCTGCTGGGATGTCGTAGTAATACTTCAGGACAACCAGAAAAATACTTCCTGAGTATTTCAGAGGAACGTAACCAAGAATATAATTTTTGACCAGGTTGGTTAAATAATCTGTGACTTAGCTCTGCTGCTGTGTGGCCTTGTCCTTCTCTGCTTCCCTTCCTGCCGCATCTCTTATCTCAGTGTGTGTGTGTGTCTGTGTGTGTGTCTGTGTGTGTGTGTGTGTGTGTGTGTGTGTGTGTGTGTGTGTGTCTGTGTGTGTGTAAATATATATGCATGGAAATAAATTCATTTCAAGTACTCAAAGTGAATTCTGATCTCCTTTGGGCACTTAGAACTTAAGTTCTTGTCTTCTTTTCATTTCAAGCAGTGACTGTGTTCAGTGGAGAGTTTTTTTTTTAAGCCTGATCGACTCGAATATGACTACCAGTTTTTCTGGTGACTATTCTTACATTGACAGTTAACTCCCCTGTCCCTCAGGCTCCTTGCATGTAACATTGGAATATTGACCATATTTCAAAGGTAGGTTAACACAGAAAATGATGATATTAATCGCCAACTTGACAAGGTCCAGCCTCACCTAGGAAATACACCTGCAGGCATGAAGGAGTTTCCAGACATGGTTGATTGAGATGGAAAACCAACTTGTATGGGCAGCACCATTCTGTAGGATGGGGTCCTAGACTGAATAAAATGGAGAAATTGAACTGAACAGCAGCACTGGTCTCTCCCTGCTTGCTAATTGTGGGTGTAATGTGACCCACTATCATGGCTTCCCCATCATCATGGACTTGTGCCCTTTCTTCCTAAGGTTGCTCTTGTTGGAGATTTTGTCAACAATGAGAAAGTACCCAATACACTTGGTATTCAGTAAGTCATTTGTTGCTAAATGCATGGTCTTCAAGTCCTGGAGATGGACTTCGACTCATGTGCACCCCCACATCAGTTGAGCACAGTGCAGAACCTAGAGAACCCAGGGTAGGGTAAAGCAGCATGCTGCCCTCCAGTGTTCTTCAGGCTGATGTCTTCACTCTGCTTCCATTGTAGTGCACCTGGTGGACATCTGGAACGTCATCGAAGCATTGAGGGAAAATGCTCTGAATAACCTGGACCCAAACATAGAACTCAACGTGGCCCGCCTGGAGGCCGTGCTCTCCACCATTTTTTACCAGCTCAACAAACGGATGCCAACCACTCACCAGATCCATGTGGAGCAGTCCATCAGTCTCCTGCTGAACTTCCTGCTCGCAGCCTTTGACCCGTGAGCCCCCTGTGACTGTCAATTACTCTCTCTGTGTTGGGGTTCTGTTTTCTTTTGTACTTTTCTTGGTCATTTTCCCAAATGATTTTCTAGATTCATTATGGTTTTTTTTTTCTTCATCAGATGTTATGTTCATAAGTAAAACTTTGAAAGCCGCAGAGACTAGAGAGTAAACTAACACACGGGAGTGGGAGGCAGCTATGTCTTGTAAGAAAACCTTTGTTTTCCTCATCGTCCCACATGTTATGGTTTGCACGGGTGCTCCAGAATGTGGCGTGGTAGCATGCACGCAGAGTAATTTGATGAAGCACAGAGAGGGAGGATGTGTCTAACTTGATTCTTTGCAATTTAACCTAAGACCGTGGTTTCTGAAGTATCGTGAGAACACCCTAGCTACAGGAAAGAAAGTGAAGTTTCTTGGCCCGCCTTGAAACAAAGACGGGCGTTACGTGGACTGGTCAGTTGAGTGCCACAGTGAAGCAGGACGCCACTGTCATGCACCATGGCTGAAATGTGGCCTCGTTATCCCATAATTCTCCCCTCCTAGAATCAGAGAGCCTCGAGCTGGCTGACATCTTAAAGAGTATTCACACAAATCTCATTTCACAGATGAAACGCCTGAAGCACAAAGAGATTGTCACTTATCCAGTTCTCTGTGGCATGTCAGTGGACTCGGGGATTCTGCTAAGGTTTCTCTTTCTCCGGTTACCTGACAGCCATATGACATGTGAAAACACCAGGAATTACCTGATCAGCCTGGAATTTCAAAAGGGCTTTTCCCCTCAGCCCCTGCTGTTGACGCGACATCTCCACCTCCGCTTGGACCACGTTTTGAATATTAAAAAGGGAAAGTGCAAAGCTGACCTTTACACAATCATATTTTAACTCGGAGCACTTTGCTTAGTCCCCTGTCCAAGTGCTCCGAAACATGTACCGCAGCAATGGAGATGCTCCAGCCATGTTAATGGCATTGTCCTGCTCACCCAAGTCACCAGCTGTCACTTTGGAACCTAGAATGGTAGTGGAATTGTCCCCGCTCGGTTTGATCAGCATATATTATTGTCTCTGTGATGACTATACTGTGAGAAATTTGCAAGCTGAAAACAAATGCTTTTAAAATCAGCTGCCCAAACAGACAGATTTCTTTCCTTGTGCCTATTTCAGAACCAGACGATCTGCTCTGGTCTGACCACTGTGGAAACTGGGAAGGAACAATGAGAGAGGGCTGTGGTTCCACGTGGCAGGTGATAAAATGGAACTAGGTCATGGAATTTCTGTCCCAGAATTCCCAACCTGACCCCTTAACAAGAACACAATGGAGTCTGAATTTGCCACTAAAGGCTGAGTGGGACCCTTTTGTTTTTAATGTGCACTATCCAGCATCCTATTGCTGAGTTAAACACATGATATAAATAACTTCCAGGGTGGGGTGGGAGGGTTGGGAGGGGAAGTGATTTTGGCTCACAGTGTCCGTGGCTTTGGTCCAGGTTCACTTGACACCATTGCCTTGGGGCCTGTGGGTGAGGTAGGATACCGGAAGTTATCTGTTCACTTGTGAAGTCCGGGAAGCAGAGAGAGGGCGTTGGAGTCCCAGTGTTCCCTTTAAGGGCTCACACTCCATGACCTAACTTCCACTCAATCCTATTTCTAAAGATGCCATCATTTCCTAAAAGTGCCACAGTCTGGCAACCAAGCCAAACAATCCCTTAGTATATGAACTGGGGGGTGGGGGGTCTAAATCACAACCAAATGTGTTGATGGAAAATATTAAAATAAATATGGGACTGGAGAGATTAAGAGAACTTAGTGGTTAAGAGAACTTGCTGCTTTTGCAGAGGACTCAAATTCAGTTCCCAGAACCCACACCATGGCTCACAGCCATCTATAACTGCAGTTTCCAAGACATCCAACATCCTCCATGGGTACCAGGCACACACGTGGTGCACACACATAAATGCAGGCAAAACACTGACAGACATAAAATATTTTTAAAGGAAATATCATCCCCTCCTAAGTCCTAAAATGTTTCTAGAAATGCATAGAGAATCAAAGCTAAAACATAATTTGTACCCCATTCCATAAATACAGAAACAGGACCAGATTAGCAGTCATGAAGGGATCGCTTTATGAAATACATAGCATAGGGTTAGAAGTTCCTCCATTTGTTTAAAAACATCGCTTAGATTATTTTACAAGGCAAAGCCGTAAGTGTTCCCTAGCTAGCTACTGATAATATGGCATTTTGAGGCCAGATGAGTTCTAAGTCGACTCTCCTTTGGTAAGAAGTCATTCACAGAACTGCAGAGAAAAATGCTTGTCACTAGCTCTTCCTGTAGATCAGCAGCCCCTGGATATTTGCAGTGAAGGAGATTTACAAACATATGCAACTAACACTCTATTCTGGAAGCATCCGTGCTTTCTCTGCCCTGGAATAGAATAGCTATGTGGGAAGTTTTACTGGCGCCCAGGTTTTTCCATCTGATAGCTTTTGGAATTCCAACAAGAAATGCAAGCCATCAGGAAGTTCTGCTCACTCCAAATGTAACTTAAGTGAGTATAAGAAGAGAAACTAAAGAATGAAATAAATGTTCATTTCTATTTCTTATAATAGTAAACTTATGCTTACCCAAATGAGCTCCAATATGGAGACATGATGTCACTTCCTACCACCCACTACAGAGCCTGTGCTTAAAGCAACTTATTCTATTTGGACAGATAAGAATGAGCCTGATACTAGTAAAACAAAGATGTGCTGCTGCTGCTGCTGCTGCTGCTGCTGCTGCTGCTGCTGCTGCTGCTGCTGCTAACACACTTGCTGCCATTTCTCAGGGGTTGCCTCACATTTTAAATGAACATAGTTCTAAATTGGGAAATCAAATAAGAAAAATCAAAAGGTACTTTAAGACCCTACACTCTAGAGAGGTCATTTTTAAAAAATAGGAAAAGAAAGACGGGAGAGTGATTACCAGCCATGTACAGTGAGAATGTGCATTTAGAGAAATGTGCTCATTCTTTTGGCAGGGCCTTAAAATTCACCGGACTCGGCCATGTGGACTCTGAAATGATCGTTAAAGCCCACTTTAATTGGCTGTATCCTAGGAAACTACACTTACCTTCCTACTACCATAGTTCCCCAAGAATAGCATTTCCCCACAGCACAAAACCTGCTTATGAGTCCTCATGCAGTGTGCTCCCCACAGGCAACAACCAGCTCTGTGGCCACAGGATGTCTCTGTTCTACATCCAGGTCTTCCTCATTCAGACACTGATACCTATAGAGGACAATTTGAATGTCACTGTCCGATTCCCACACTGACCACTCTGTCACTGAGGAGATGAGCCCTGAGTCTAAAGAAATTCTATTCTTCTCAACTTTCTATCTCAAAATGCTGTTTCTCTGGGAAAGTCCCAAATACAACTGTCCCATGTGCACAATCTTACTTTTCTGGAGTCTCTATTGATGGATCGACAGTCCTGGAGAGAATGGGGAGAGACGTGTCCAAAGATGGAAACTGAGGCTGTGAGGGAAGAGGATATATTAAGATGGAGTCAAAGCTTGAATCAGGTGCTTTCTCTTCTTTCTACAAACCTTCAGGAGGTGGCCACCTGCCCTCTGCTGCCAGAGCCGTCACCTGTCACGTTCTCCTTCAAAATTCACCATCAAATGCCAGCCAGCTATCACAGTAACCTTTTGTCCCTATCCCAAGTGAGGAAATCCCTTTGAAGAGCTTAAGGGAGATTGCTGCTGCTATTGTGTTTTTATACTAGGATATAGTAAAGCAAAAGAGAAATCATGTGGCATAAAGTTGTAAGATAAAGAGAATTCTTGGACTTCCAAGAATTGTGGAGGGTCACTGGCTCTGTGCAGGCCTTTGCCTTTCCCAGTCAGGTGGATCATCATTCTCCTGTCCTTCTGTTCATACACAAGATTCTCCCACTCTCGTCTAGAGAGTGTTTAACTATTCACTTGGTGTTCTCCCACAAGATACTACAGGATGGAACTGTAACTCATTCTTCTTCTCATTAATAGCCTGTGAGACCATGCACAACATGAGGATGAGTCAAGCAAAAATCAAAGGCTGGCCTCTCTTAGCTCTTGCTATGCCAATCTCCTTTCATCCTTCCTTTCTAGATTTGATGTCTAATTGTCATGTTCCCCTCTAGAAACTAGCAAATGCTATTAGAATGAAGTCCATACCCTACGTACCGTGTGTTCCTGGCTACCAATATAGATAATTGTAGTTTTGTTTTGTTTTGTTTTTAAGGTTTCAATGTGCTTCTCTTATTCTCTCCCACTTTCCCTGAAAAATACTAATCACAACTCAATCATGATGATCTTAACTTTCAATCCAGTCATATCTTCCTCCTTCAGATGCTTCCTCAAAAAGTTAGTTATGTGATGACAGTGCCTGGCTTTTGGTTTTGGGTTTTTAGCCAGTATCATTCCCATACGTATCTGGCCACTCAAAAGCCCTCGTATCACCCTGACCAATATTACAGGGAGTGGTGTTCCCAGTTTGCAAGCAAGCTTCATTTTTAATACTGGCTCTCAGGTGATAACATGGGGGTTACTTCCGGTGATAACATGGGGGTTACTTCCGGTGATAACATGGGGGTCACTTTTGGTGATAACATGGGGGTCACTTCCGGTGATAACATGGGGATTACTTCCGGTGATAACAGGGGATTACTTTTCTCATTCTGTGACAAGGCACCTTATAGAAGTGACCTTGGAGAAGGAGAGGTTTCTTTTGACTCGCATCCATCCTGGTGGACGGGGTTGCACTGTCCGCAGCTGCAGGGGTTTGCCGCACAGGCGGCCGGATGGTGCTCCGCAGGCACAGGGAGAGCTCCAGAAGCAAGGCTGACCATAGTCGTCAAGGCCTGTCTTCCCGTCCTCCACCCAGGCACCACCTTCCGTCCCTAACCAGCACCACTGGCTGCCAATCAAATATCCGAACACAGGAACCCGTAGGGATCATTTCCCAACCACACATAGC